TATGCCTGGGCGGCGTGTGGAACGAGTACACATTACTCACACCTCTACTAAACAGCCTCGGTCCGTGCCCAAAGGTCCCCATCCCCTGTGTTTTTGGGTATCAAAGTGCTCCTGCAGGCAGGCGGCTGGGTTGCGTCCACTGTCCCCTCTAGAGAGTTACCTCAGCGTTTGTTCCTCATACTAAGAAGTGTCTCGTTTCTAACGAGACTGTATTACTTGATCCGCAGGTGACAGTGTCCCGACCCATGACTGATTTCTGCCGTAGACTCATTTCTGTGCCTGTCTGCCCCTTCTCCCCTGCCACCCCCCGCCTGCTCTGGGCTCATGCGTCCCTGGTGCCTCGTGGCCGTGCGAGGTCCCGCACACACCCACCCCTTGGGCTGCGCTGGGCTCCGAGCAGGAGCCGTGCCTCAACACAGGTATACTCCTCCAAGAGCCCCGACACCAGGCCTGGTTTGAATTTCAAATCAAGCACAACAAGCAGCTCTTTTTCCTTTTTAAGGTGCAGAGGGCAGGTGGCCCGGCCGGTGCTGAGCTCTCAGCCTTGGCGCTGCCTTTCCTGACCCCTGCGTGCTTGGCTTCCCAACCTTGACGCTGCGCTCACGCTAACCTGGCGCGGAGGCTGCGTTGTGTTTTACCGTGCGGCACAGGGGTTATGTCACCGTAAATGTCAGGGTGCAAAGGGCAGCTGAAGTATGAGGAGTTTCCCTCCGAGGGACCGCAGCTGGATAAGGATGCTGTGGAAATGGTGCCACCAGGGAGAAGTGGGGAGGAAAGCAAAGAAGAAGCTGGGGAGGAGAGCCTTGTGTCAGGGCTTTCCTGGGAGCAGGCTGCCGGAGGTCAGGGATGGGGTTAGCTGTCTCGTTTAACTGCTCTTTTCCTTTTTATGTTTTCCACTGGTTACCATTCGGGATTTGACTTCAGAGAGGTGCTGATAGACATGTAAAAAGCTAAAAGATTTCCTAAATCTAAAGATCAGCCTAGAGGAAGGCGTGGAGCCCAGGGAGAACAACGGGGTGTCAAGGGACCATGAGGAAGAGGAGGGAGGAAGGAAAGCTAGTGTCAGGCTGTGCACTGGGCTGAGCAGGGATCTAGAGTTCGGGGGTCTGGCTGGGAAGGGGGAAAGATGAGGAATCAGAGAAGGGCAGTGGCTTTTCCCAGAACCCAGAGGCAGAAGAGCATTTTCAGAAGCAGGGTCTGTTTTAGTTTTTTTGAAGAAATGAAAGAGAAAGAGCGTGCTGGGGTGCAGAACTTGAGATCTAGAGGTGCAACGGTGGGCTTGGATTTGGGGAGCGGAAAGTTCACTTTTGCCATGTAACCTCGTGTCTTTATCTTTGGGATAATTTAACTGAAAGGTCATATGATATTTGACCTCCTACTGCGGCAATTTCTTTCACTCCGAATGTCATATTTATCCCAAAGTAGAAAAACAGCATGCTGTTCTGAACAAGCCAGGATTAGCCACGTGTTCTAATACACTTCAGCACTGGATAAATGTTGAACAGCAAATTGCTTGGAGGGATTAGTAATTGGATAGTGAGCCTTTTGCTTTTAGGTGAGTTGGGTGAAATGGAGACTCTGGGCTCTGCCTGGCTCTCAGCGGACAGGTTCCAGGGAGCCAGGCTGAGCAGACAGAGACCGCGTTCCACCTTCCTGTCTCTGCTTATTCCCTCTAAACAGAAATGCAAGAATGCTAGTGGAGTGTGGGGAGCACAGGGTTTTCTCCACTTCTTTCACTGACCTCTGAGTGATGGAGGAACTTGACAACTCTGGAAATAAAGGAAGAATGTAGCACTTGACAGCTGCATTTTAAGAAAGATACCTGCAGTGTTTTTACAGGAATGAATGCCCATTCATACCTAGTCTCATGTCCTAGGTGGATGTATACATTTAATTACATATTCAGACCAACACATATTAATAAAGCAAGAGAGTTAATTTATCTATTTTGGAATAATTTTTCATCTTTGCTGAAGAACCGGCTCTAGAATGAGGCACAGAGCTCTTGAAGAGTGGCGCCTTTGCTTGGAAATACAGATTTCTCTCTCGCTGCCGCCACAGTGGTATTTGAGCACCTGCTGATGCAGAGAGGTAGAGAGGAGTAAAGCATACGATGACATTTCTCTTTCCTTCCGTCGCTCACAGCCGTAACACACACGCACACAGTCTGGATTTAGTTCAACACGCCAGGCTCCTTTTAACTGTCTTATTATCCCCAACCCAAAACTTGCCCAGCAGAAATTCCTTTTCCTTTGCACAGCACTGGGCATGTTCTTTCCACTTACTGAGGAATTTATAGACCCCGTGGCAAAGAGTTAAAGGTTTTTGCTGATAGAGGCAGAGAAAAGAGATTCCAGAAGCAGAACTGTAGAAGGAAACTGCTTTGTACTCTGTCGTGCTATAAAGACATTTTACTCTAGGTTGCCTTCAGTACTACCTGATAGGTCTCCAAGACTTTCAGCAAATGCTGACCTCTAATATAAGAACTGTGACTGCCAGGGAGGCTTTGGAGCTGGGCAGTATCTGCAGCGAGTTGGCAGAGAAAGAACAAAGAGTGTGACCACAGCGGGGAGAGCGGCGTGACAGCCAGGAGCGGCAGCTGCCCGCGGCATCCTTCCAGCAGATGTTCTGCTCCCCAGCAAAAGCAAGCATTTGGGAGGACTGCAACAGCACTTTGCCTAGGGATCTCTTTTGTCTATTTGGAAAGAAAATCCACAACTTTGAATCTTTACCTTGTATAGTTCTTAAATATTTAGGTTACCTTTTTATTTTTGGAAACCTGGCTTGAATATCTTTGGAATATTATATTGGAATGCAAGTAATCCCACTCCTTTGATGCACAATATTTGTAGCATCTAAAATTTCATTGACATTTGGAGTCAGAAGCTGCAGAGAGGGGCATTGCAGGTACTTGATCTCGTTGTCCAACAGGTTCTTCTTAAGCACATGCTAAGTTTGTAAAAGAGCAAATACCAAAATCCATCAGCAATCTGCATTTTAGGAGAGATGTACTGTCCACAAGGTTCTGAAAAGTGGTATCTGAAAGATCCTGACCTCCTTTACACACTCCTTGCAGGAGTCTTGGTTCATTAAGCTCCACTGCAAAGACCACACGGCCGTTTCCTGGTTTGCTAGTCAAATTAGGCAGCTGTTACTTCAAGATACCAGACTCCCCAATGGATCTGGGGAAAGCTGCTGTGCAGAAAAATGCAGTGATAAGGAGAAGAAATTATTTAAAAGTAAGCAAGTAGTTTGCAAACTTAGCCTATTATTTTTAATGCACAGATGTTTTTTTTTTTCTCCACAAAGTGCATTTGCTGGCTTTACATTCTCAAGGAAGCTTAGTTCTAATTGTAACTTTTTAGAAGGAACTTTCAACATCTGATGGAAAATGCAAGCTGAAATGTGGTTTGCCTGCAAAAGCTTCTGTAACCCTGTGGATTTTATGTGGTTTTATCACATGATGCTTGCCTAGCCTAGGACATTGTTGTTTGTGTCAGAGATAAAATGCAATTCAAGTTCACGAGTTCCTGCTGCAGTCATATGATGATCATCCACATGTTCCAGCCATTGTGTACTGTGCTCAAGCCACAGATACTAGCCATTAGCACATCTACATATTGCATTAATTCAGCCTGCTCGCCAGGATGTCGTAATGAGAGGATACCGCTCTGGGAGGCTGTATATGTCAGTAAAGCCCAGGACTAGGCGGCTGGTGAATGCTTCCTTCCCCTCTGCTCAGAATTACTGGTTTGTCTGCACATTCTTCCTTAAGGCTCTCTGTGGCAGCAGCTCTCTAATGGGAGCAGCAGCGCAGGCTGGCGCGTGGAGCCCCGTAATCCGTGACATTTTCTGCTGTTTTACTAAATCTCATCCACAGTTAGGGACAAATAAAAGTCACCTGTCCCTAACTGTGGGTGAGATTTAGGGAAAAAAAAAAAAAAAAGAAGCCTTCAGAGCCTAAGACAGAGGTGTAGGATTCCCATCTTGTCCCCCATCAAAATCCCTCTGCAGCAGTAAGCGCAGTTGTCTTTTTGTACAGTTGTTTCTGATTATTGAGCAGAGTCATGAAGTTAGCACCCTGTGCCTTGGATATTTCACACTTTTTATGCCTTTTCTTTTTTTTTCATAACTATTAAAGATTGAGACATACTTATGTTTTTGAGTGAAAGGGGAGCTGGTGATGTGGACTCTGTGAGTCCAGAGATGAAGCTGTGATACATGACAGCGCTTCTGTCTCTCCATCTGTCCCTTGAACCTTGCTTCCAGTAGGGTTTGCTTCCAGCTTGCTCTTACTGGTTTGGTGATTGTATAGGAAAGGTTAATTAAGAAAGTCTTAGGGCAGAATTGGGATGTAATTTTGAGCAGTGTAGGCTATATCCATCTCCTAGTGCTGCCCACTACAAATGTAAATAATGCCAACCTTACGTGGGGGTGTGGAAGCATAGTAAGTATATGAAAAATGAGATCTTTAGGTGAAGAGGGTGGCCTAACGCTGGTGTGAATGGCATTCGCTCGTGTGGATGCTGACTGTGCTTGGGATGCTGAGATTCCCAGGAGATTTCCCAGGGGAAATGAACAAAACATCTCCCATGCCAGTGATTGATAATACTGCCTCTGTGGGGTGGACACAGATCCCACCCGTCCTGGATGTCACTTCCAGCTCCATCCCAGCCCTCCTAACTCCCTTTTTCACTAGATTTTCTACCTGAACATCTATCAGAAATCACTCTTTGGACCGTTTCTCCATCATTTTGTGAAATTCTTCTGGCTTTTCTGTAACACTAGCTCTGTTTTTGAGCTTTGTCTCTTTTCAGCCTCACAATTCCCTCGTGCTGAAGATGAGAGGAATATGTCACCTCTGTGCCACTCTTGAAAAAGAGTAGGGGACACACAGCTAGGGAGAGAGCTGTAAAAATAGTATCCTCTCTCCGCTTACACTTGTAACGTGAATCTTTCTTGAATTCTGTGTTGTTCTTGCTCGGTTATTCCTAATCAGTGTGTTTTCCTGTACATCATGGACTGTTCCTTGTCACGATCATCGTCGCTCTGGAGGGCTGTGCCCATCACACCGCCGTGTCACCTCCGCCCCACTGGGCACAGGTGCAAGGTGAAGACAGCTGGAGCCTATTGTTGCCATCCTTCCTTTAAACGCTTTGGTACCGTCCTTCCTCCTAATCCTGGGTCTAAAAAAGTCATTTGTAAAGCTTCAGAGACGGATGGCTGCTTAGGAGAATGGAGTTGGAGTGACCTGATGGCTCCTGGCTAATTGGAAGTAAACCAACTCGTCTTCCTTTTGTACAGCCAGGCTGCCAGAGACACCAGTAAATATTCTGTTAACTGTTTCCCTGGGGCATAAGCCTTTCAGCTGTTAAATATCTTACCTCAACAAGTACAATGCTGCTAAACAGTGATTTCAGGCCGTGGGTCTTAGTACATCACATCTGTTGTCTGTATTTCAGAAACTCTGCAGCGATGCTCAGGTGAGAGTTTTTGGGAAATGTTGCCAACTGAAGCCTGGAGGAGACAGCTCTTCTTCCTTGGATAGTTCCATCAATTCATCCTCCTCATTCTCTGATCCAAAAGAACAATGCCCAAAATACCAGGTGAGTCATTCTTCCCTTTTTTTTCAGGTGAGGTACTGAATGTTTTTAAGTGCTTGAAATCCGGGGCTGGTGATGGAGAGCAGTTTTCAGTCAAAATCAGACTTTGATTCTGTCTCAGTAGTGTTTAATTCTGTAGCTTTGAGTTTGAACAAGTGTAAAACCAACCAGCTGGTTCTCTTGGGATGTGTCTTGAATCACAGTGATTTCTCCAGGGCATTTGTTCTGTCTTATGACCTGGGTGATAACACTCGCTTGGTATCATCAGACTTGGCACAAATATCTTATCTGGGTATAGGTGAGGTAGTTTATTTCACTTTATTGCTGAACTCCAGGGAAATAACAGAGAAACACGCTATCTGTAGGGATAGTCCGTGTAACAGCTTTATAACAAGGGATTCAGTGCACTTGGGTTACATTTTACATAAGAGATTTTGGCCAGGAGAGTAGCTAGAGTCATCTGACATGGATATATTTCTGTCATCTCTGCTTCCATGGATCACAAGTGTTTTATATTAAGCCACCCTAAAATAGAACTAAGCCCTTCCACTCTTTGTAATGAAGTAATTGTGTGTTTGAGGGAAGCTGCTATCTTCACAACCTATTCTAGAGTACAGTACTACTGATGTCTTCATCTCCCCTAGATACAAATGAAGAACCTTTCCATGCTGCCTTTCCCGCTGTCACCTTGGCTCTTGCTGTGTTTGGCGAGCTGCGTATTCTTGTTTTCTCTTTCTCATCACACTCTTTTCCACAGCTTTAGTAAGGTGGTTGAAGATCTGTTTTCCATTCTTCCCTTCCTGGAAGGGCATTTAGCTGCGGTTATGAAAGGAAGAGACATTTCTGTCAGCGGCTTCCTTCCAGCACAAAATAACCTCCTTCGTGCATTGTGCGACCAAGAAAAATGATGCCCCCCACTATCCCGAGATTGTCTCTCCTACTGGGCAGGCTCTGTGCAAACAATGGTCAACGTTATTAACGGAAATTCATTTTAGTGGTTGGCATGACAGTGTGTTTGAAAGCTGTGGAAAGTTTTCCCTTTTAAGTCCTCGTTTCCTCATGTGTATCACTTGTTCAGAATCTTTCTGAGTTGAACTGAAAGGATGTGTGGCTCCGTGACTGGCTCAGAAAGTGTGCCAGAAACCTTCAGCTTAAGCTGTTCTTCCACAGCATATTTGTTGTAAGCTGTCTGCTGCGCTCTCCGTACTCCTTCCAGGCTTCCCCAGCAAGTGAGGACAGAGCCATAAATACAAGAGTTCTTTACTGCACAATAAAATTTTGTGTTGTGTGTGCAGAAGGGCCACAGTAAGTTTGTCCAGACATCCGTCAGCCTGGCATTTCCTAGCTTCTGACTCCTGTGTCTGGGAACCTCAGAAGTCACTTCACGTGCTTGTAGTATTTGTGAGTTCTTTTGTTTGGTTTTGTGTATTCTGTCTTTGGTTTTTTTTTTTTTTTTTTTAAGATCTAAGATGGAAGTCCAAATAATACAATGGTACAGGACTTTCGAAACGGTTCTTTATGTTTCCTTGTTTAACTACACTTTGACTATCTATGAGCAGCTTCGATTGCAAGGTGGGACACAGGGCTTTGTTCCAGGCTTCTGTCTTTGTGTGTATGTCCTATCCAGATCCCTCACAATGGGGTTAGAATCCATAAAGATGAAGCTGGATACGGTTCTAAGCTTGCCCACAATTAATTGCACACTACGAGCCTAGTGTTACCGCTGCACCTGCTCGTCAGTGGAGTCAGGACTGAAAGTCTTTCTGATCTGTTGACCACAGCATTTGACATTTATTTCTGTACTGCATTTTTACTTTACACGTGTTCTCAGTTATTGGTAGGACAATATGTACAGTCAGGGGAGTATTAAGTGCTGTGCGCATTATATTCAGAAATTTAATTTCCAAATCATGCAAATGTTCCTGCCCCCAATAAGCTAGTGTGCATAATCACAAACACTTGTGGGTATTTTATGATCAGTTTTTATGTGAGCTGGTAAATACAACCTAGGGATTGGTTTGTGTCCACGCTGGCCGTGCCGGAGGTTGTGCCCTTTTTGCCACACGCTCCTTGGCTATTTTTTTGTTTGAGTTTTTAATATTTAACGCCTTTCCTCAGTTGATTGTACTCTACTTTGGTCTTGAGTGACCTTTATTTTGCAGCATTAAAGGCCCAAAGAGTTGAGCTGTGGCAGTGTTTCAAAATTAAAGACTTTAAGTATGTGCCTCTGTTATGCGTGGTAAAATTATTGTTACTCAGTGTAGATGAAATGCCAGACTGAAACAAGCCATGGGTGCATCTTATCATGCTCTTTGCCTTCAGCATTGCTTATCTCTATCCTTCAGAGGAAAGGAAAACCCCTATAATTAAATTTGAAAGCAGCTGATTTTCACTAGCTTTTTAAAATTTGATTGCTTGGCAAGGAAAATCAATAATTTACCTTAAAGCATTTCTCCTCAGCTTTAGAATTAGATTTTTACAGCAGCAGAAAGTTGAAACCAAAACCAACCATCAAGGGCTTGACATCTATTTAGAATAAGCCCTTCAACTGGAGATCTGCAACAGACTTAAAAATAACAATCATAACATTTGGCTGTAGTAATTTGCAGTGTTCTTACTTCAGGATTTCGGGATGCTGGCAGACCTATCATTTCCTAGAGCTATTAACATCTATGCTTACATTTCCTCGGAGCTGCTGGGTCATACCGAATGATTTTAAAGTCCAGTTTTTCCAGTACTGCCTACAGTACACCTAGGTGGTGTGATATCTTGGGAGGTAACGATGGAATTTTCTCCAAGACCCAGCAAAGGATCCCATGTTGCCCTGTTATATGGACACGTAACAGACCCTGCAACTGTATCCTTGTTTTTGTGCTACGGTTAGTCATCCCCTCTCTTTCCTGCACAGATAGCAGATTTCAGAGGTTAATAGTGTGTCTGTTAAAGTACCATCATCTTAATTGAGAGTGCTTGAGAAGAGCTAAAAACTGAAAAGTGTTATAAGTGTGTTGCCTTTTGGCTGATGAGCGTTCCCTCATTCCTGCCCTTGTGGCGTGAGCACCAGCATCAAGCGATCATGTTCATACCACTCCTTACTCCTGGTAGGAATCCGTGGTGTGGCCACCCTGCCCTTGCTCTGAGCTCACTGACACTGGGCAAAACGTGGAGATATATGCCAAGGATCCGGGTGAGGATCCTGGTTGTTCAGAGCTTGGATGAGGGATATGGAGAAATGGCATTTGGCATTTCCCAAACACAAGGTTATTCCTGTGACTGGTTTTAGGGACCTTTTGGAAGGATTACTCCAAGGAAGTGTTATTAATTATCATGCATTAATTTTAAATTATTCAGGGCCAGACACAAATGGAGAGCCAGCTGCTTCCCTAGAGAAGCAGCAGCCCTGGATAAAGGGACAGTAACCTCAGCCATTGAAAGCACACAAATAAGATGACTGTCAGCTGAGCAGTCATCTCCCCTTGATTGCCCTGAGTAACATTTAATTTTAGGTTTTGTTTGCAGTGTTTGGTCTAGCCTGTGATGCAGCATAGTGACGTTTCTGCTTTGTAGTTAGCCAGTATGCCTGACAGCAAGCTCTCACCGACCAGGCAGCAGGAAACGCTCAGCGTAAGCCTGGCATCACGATGCTACAGCTCCTTCCTGGTACCGTCACAGGAGCGGCAGGGGAAGAGGCATCAGCAGGTGTTATGAATCAGTCTGTGTCAAGAAAGCACTGGTCCAGCTGGGCTGCAGTGTACAATCTGAGATCTCCAGTGAACTTGGGATTCTTCTTGTCAAGCAGACACAAGGTCTAAGCGTAATGGTTCTCATTCAGAAAGTGTGTTATCACACTCTTAAAACTTCTTACTCCCCTGACTCATTGTGGTTTGAATCTGCTTCCCCCTGATGCCTGTAGATGCATTAGGTTTACTGGATGACTTTGGTGGTTCAGCTCACACCACAGCCCGTGTGAAGATCGCTTTCTCTGCCAGCATTAGCTTTATTGACTGTTCTTCAACAGTGTTGGAGCTTCTAAAATGCTTTAAAACAAATGGTGGAGGTTGAGTTTGGTTTTGTTTTGTTTTTGCAGGGTTCTCGGTGTTCCTCGGATGCTAACATGCTTGGAGAGATGATGTTTGGCTCTGTGGCCATGAGCTACAAGGGCTCCACACTGAAAATTCACCAGATTCGGTAAGATTAATTTTTTTACTGCTGGTCTTTTCGGAACACTTACTCCTTGGTGCTAATATGTGATGAATCGAATGCCGCAAGTGCAGAGTAAAAGGAATTTCTGGGTTCGACACAAAAGGCTGTTATGTCGTGTTTAGGTCTGTAAAATCCGGTGGGTTGTGAAATGGAAAGGAACGCCTGTCTTGGCACTGTGTTTCTGACTGACATTGTCCTTTTTGTCATCTAGCTCACCTCCTCAGCTCATGCTCAGCAAGGTTTTCACCGCTCGCACTGGAAGCAGCATCTACGGAAGTCTGAATACGTGAGTCCGTTACAAATGATAGCCATTGCTCAGAAGCAGGTGAATGTAAGAACACAGAAGACGGTTTTTTGGACCCTCTAGATTATTTTTCTAGCAAAATGACTTCTTGTTCCCTGATCTGTTACATCCTGTCACTAGTGTCCTCACCTGTCCCTTGCGGTTGTCTCCACCTCAGTGTGCTTTAAGCGAATGAATGAACCATTCCTTTCACGCTGACGTGGTGAAGCTTGATACTGTAAGGTATGAAGTACCTGCAACCGCCAAAGGAGGAGGGATGAGGACAGAACACTGGAGGTGGGGAATTCAGTCCAAGATGAAGAAAAAGGTGTTACAGAAACATCTGGCTTTGGAGAGTTCAGTGTTTAGTTTTCTGTGTATTAATTGACTTACCTATGGAAGCTTTTTCTAGGGGAAGCCTGTGTTCTTATCTTCTGAGTTCCATTTGGGCTGTAATGAAGTAACACTGTATTCTACTGAAGTGCAAATCACTGCTTTTGTTGTGTGTTTTATGTTTGTTTTAGGTTGCAGGACAGTCTTGAGTTCATTAATCAAGACAGCAATACATTGAAGCCTGACCACAGTACCATTATGAACGGACTTCTTGGGAATATAGGTAATTACAAACAGATTTTATTTCCTGGTATCTTTAACTGAGTAATCATAGATCCTAGAATATGGAAGTCTTCTAAATAGAATAAAATAAAAAAAAAAAAAAGGAAAGCTAAAACATAGCGGAAAATGAATGTTGGTGGATTTGGAGGAGAATAAATCAGACCGTTCCAAGAATTAGCAGTGGTTCAATATGTTCAACTGTACATGTGTATATAAAATACATAATAGAAATATTTAGATATACTTAAGTTCAAATACAGAAAATGTTGGAAAATAACAGTCTGTGGAACTTCCTAAGCAGGGTATCTCAGATCAGGCAGGACTGATTCTGCCTGCCTCTGTTCCCCCGCCTGAGCACGTTTGGCCGCGTTTCGTACTATAACCTTGCGCAGCTGTGCTGCAGTTTTTGATCAGATTAGGATATCTTTTTGTTCTCTCCTCTTTCTCTATCTGGCCATGGAAGCTAAGCAGTCTTGAAAAACCATCTGGTATCTTTGATTCTCAGCCTTGGTGGAAGTACTGTGGCTGAAGGCTCTGTAGACATGAGATTACAGAAAGAGGGGAAGGTCTTGGCTTTTTCCCATGGGAACAGTCGAGCTGATAGTAAAGATAGTGTACTTCAGGGCTGGTTGTCCAGCGTAGCAGCAGCTTGATGAGCTCTTCGGCATGCCCTCCCTTTCCCTTGGTTTAGATTGTTGGCTTTCCAAGTTACACCTATCTATTGTAGTAGGTGCATAAGGGGTTTCATTTTACATTTGCTTTCCAGCAGATTGCTGTGTGTAAAATACACTTTTCTAGGGTCAGAATTAAGGAGTGAATTTGATGACTTTGTTACTCTAACTGGGTTTCTGGCTTTGACATGGTCCTAATTCTTGCTGCGTGTGTTTACTGCTCTCCTTCACACTGACTTTGATAAGACTACACCTAAGCGTGGGCTTGAAATGCTTTTCAGGCTCCAAAGCTGTGTACCTCGTTAAAATCATTCCCAATAGTCCATTTTTAAGTAAAGCCAAGTAAAGCTGTTAGAACCTATTGTCTATTAAATGATTTCCAGAATTTACTGTAAGAAAAGTTAAAAAGATGCATTTTTCTTAATATTCAGTATTCCTTTCAGACTTCAGCTGTGATTTTTTCACAGTGTGTGAGTGATGTAAGAGAGAGGAACTCACTTCATGTACTGTCAGGGTTTTGTTGTGGTTTGCACTTGGCAAAGTTTGCTGTATCACCAGCGTGATCTAAACTGCAGGTTCAAGTTCAGCTAAGGCAACTCTTAGGCGTGGACTCAGTAGGATTTAGGTGTAGCCAGTGCCACACGTTCATCGGTGTCCGGCTCTGGAGCGAGGGTGACTCCTTTCCACCCAGCAGAAGGATTCCAGCTGCCCCGGGAGCTGCCCAGGAGGTGTGGGCACCTGGGTGCAAGGGCGTGCAACAAGGAGTGACGAGCTTGCCTGCTAGGAGAGGATGCTGAGGCTTTCTTTGTAGCTGAGCCGCACGTGTTTTCAGTCGGTTCCACAGTGTTTGTTTCCAGTTCCCAGCGCAGAGGGAACCACGGGTAAAGCAGGTACAGAAGTTAATGTGTAACGGCAGCGTTTCCAACAGCTGTGTTCAATGGCAAAGCCTGCTCCTGACTCACGGGCTCTCCAGCCTGTGATAGGAGAAGGGTCTATGTGTTTTGGTTGGGAACTATTTACAAGCTGCTTTTTTTAGTTATGCTGGTTTAAAAAAAAAAAAAATAATCAGCACTGCTCATGTCCTTTCCTCTAATGGGTAAAGACCCAAGAGAATGGAAGGGAGCTTTGTTGAGGTGCAGCCTTCATGTTTTGCACAATCGGGAAGCTTTGAGTGAGTAGTAGCTTCAAATTTAGGAGAGGGACCAGCAATTAACTCATTAAAAAGACCCATTCATTTTTCCTGTGTACAGTAAATACACAAAAAATACCTACAATCCAGTATTACTTCTAAAACGGACTACTAAGACTGCTAACGTTTATTTTCTGTATGACCATTTCACTCAACTGATGTACTGACTGTCTTTAGAACAACTACTTCAGCCTATAATTTTCTGTTGGTTCTACTAAGATGAATTTCTGCCTGCCTTCTCCCCCTTCCTCCCCGTCATCTTCAGTGACTGTTCCCCAGCCATGCCACCACTGTGGATGTTAAAACAAACATTGTACTCCACCATGAATCTCCTGTTTGTGATCAAGTTAGGCTCTGAGCCTGCATAAATTAATCATTTTTCAACTGAAAAAAATAAAAAAAAAGCCCTTGGAGAGAAAACCCCTCCTTGTATGGGAAACAGTATAAAGCTGGGTCTATTATTTGAATTCTGTAAATACCGTATAGTTCAGCTGTAAGCTGTATCCTTGAATCAACGTTCTTGTTAAGCGCAAGAGCTGTTCTCCTGCACACGTTAGTCTGCATTTACGTTGGCTTATATCTTCTCCCTGCCCTGGCCCCCTCCCTGCAGACTGTTCTGCTTTACTAACCTCATTCTTTCATGTGTATTTTACGTTTTGCCGTGTAGGTCTTTCACAGCTTTGCAGCCCTAGGCGGGCATTCTCAGAGCAAGGTCCGCTCCGCCTGATCCGGAGCGCCTCTTTCTTTGCAGGTTTGCAGTGTGGTGTGTGCTGTGCTGTGTGGCTAGTCTAGCTGGTGTGACAACATGGTGTGGTTTTGTAGATTAGCCCTGGAAATAAGATTTCGTATTTTTTTAAAATCCAAAATAGACAGTGATGTCTGCTCTCTTACCTTTTTGGATATGTGCTTTAAATCCCCAGAGGACAGCAGGCATTTTAATAGTCCTCTCTGGGGTTCATTGGTTGTGTTGTTTTGTTTTGGAAGCAGATATTTAATGGTCGATTTCATATTTCTGGAAATAATATTTCACAATGGTGTCAAGCTATTTTGATCTGGACTTGCTTCAAGCAAACTGTGAAAACTAAAGCTAACCTAAGTTCATTTAAAATGGACATTTCTTGCTGTTAGTGGCTGGGTCTTATTTCCATGGCTGAGTAGCTTTTATTTCACACACGTATTTGTAAAATAGATCACATGTAAAGACTGTTGAGCCTGAGACACTTTTGATCTTGTGAATCTGGACAGCTTACGGCTTAGTTGAACAACCAGTGCACTGCTCGTAATTTAAAAGTATCTATTTTCTTCAAGACAGCATTGTAAAATCATTTTCAAATTATATATAAAATACCTAAGAAAGCTGGTATATGAATGAAGCCATGTTTATATTGTGTCTTGGGGGGTTTTTTGTCCATACACTGAGTTCTACTTATGTGACAAACATCCTTTTGGTACATTAAAATTTCATTGAAAAATATCTGTGTAAAGAAACAAAGTGTACTAGTTTTAGTTTGGACTGAGATAGGCGTATGGACTTCAGAAAATACACAGAAGCTTCTCATGGAAGTGTTCTGGCTTGTTCAGCTAAGCAGCCTTTCTTGGTGATGGCCTTGTGCAGTGCTGTTGATCTGAATTAATGAGCATGTTTTTGTTTCATTAATTACATGGAGATCTGCAAACAAGAAAGGAACTGTATATTCCCCTGCTAATTGGTATTCCTTGTTTTACAGTTCACAGCAACCCTATGGATATGCCTGGGAGGGAGCAGAGTGAGGACAGAGACAGTGGTATAGCCAGATCTGGTAATGGCAATTCCATGTGTTAACCCTGGTGACTCCAAAAATATTCAGTAATATTTGTCGCAGAGGTGTCTAGACAACATCAAATGTTTTTCCTGTGCTGAAATGTGGTTGTTTTGTTATATGTAGCATTAATGCATACCGACATGTGTACGTACAAGTGTTGTAGGCGTCGAGGGTGTTCCATGAGGAACCTCACAGAGCCAATCTGACCAGCAGTGCCATTTATTAAAGCCCAAAGCAAGACAAATTAAATATTGAAATGAGTTTGCAGCATTTCTTAATGATATTTGTTGTCATCTCCTTTTGAAACGGAGGAGGATGGTAATGTTAAAACATAAATTCGCCTCCACAACACCTCTCCTCCCCCCAAATTCAGGATATTGGGCGCTTAGGGTCAGGATTGGAAAGGCTGGTAAAGGATGTGATGAATGTTACTTCTTTCCACAAAGAATTTCTTTCCCAGTACTCGGGGTTGATGAGCAAGGTGCAGCCTGTGTGTTGCCTATTATGTAAAGCTGCAGGACTGTCCCACCCTTGTAGTGCTTGTATGTCTTGTTAATGTTCCTATAAACCGGTTATTTTTAGATAAGAAACAGAGATAAGCAGAAGAGAAGGCACTTGAGAAGCAACACCAGTTTATCTTGAGGGGCTTTGTTTAGTTGCTGGTATTGCTTTCCATGTGCTCTTTCTTCTTAGAGAGATTTTTATTTATCTCTCTTATTATTGCAGCATCTCTTAGCAGTCTGCTCATCACTCCGTTTCCATCTCCGGGCTCTTCGTTTAACAAAAGCTGTGCTAGCAGTTACCAGCGGCGTTGGCGTCGCAGCCAGACTACCAGCTTGGAGAATGGGGTCTTCCCTCGATGGTGAGCTGGGAATGAAGATGCTGGGTGCTGTCCATAAAATTCCCACCGTTGTCAGCTTGAATTCTGCTCTTGCATATGTACATCTGCTCTGGCTGTTGCTTTCTGGGGGGGAATTTACAGAGGTGTAAGTCAGGCTGCACTTCAACGCCTGATCTTTTTTAGTATCTGTTTTCTCCATGGCATTCATTGTTTTGCACTAACTAGAAAGCCTGCAGCAAAATGTAAACCTGTAGGCTGTACTTCTGAGGATAAGAAGCCCTAAAATCCTACTCAAAACAAAAATTCTTGGCAGGGGTAGGAGAGAACTAGAATACGGTATTCTTATCCCACAAACACTTTGAATTTGGTTTCAGCTTTTGCGATTGCAGGATCAATTAATGGTCGCTTGTAAAAAATTGCAAAGCGGATGTTATCAAAGGTGGTGATTTGACAACGCATGCAAACAAGAGGTGTTTGTTGAAGTTAAATGTTCAAGAATTGAGTGAGACAGGAAAGCAAGGTACAACTTTAAGCAGTGGATCGCATTAACTTTCTATTTTCTCTGTGCTTCAAGGTCCATGGACGAAAGCTTTAACTTGTCAGATGACAGCTCTGGTCCTAGCCCAGGAATCGTTAGGAAGAAAAAGATAGCAATTGGAGTTATTTTTTCACTCTCAAGAGATGAAGATGAGAACAACAAATTTAATGAGTTTTTCTTCTCCCACTTTCCTCTTTTTGAGAGTCACATGAACAAACTGAAGAGTGCAATAGAACAGGTAAACACAGTCTCTCTTGATCCTTGCACTTGTACTGCTGCTGTATGTTCCCACCAGCCCGGTCAGATTTAATTCTGAACTCTTGTTACTAGTTTACAAAAGTGGGATCAACTTGCCGTTGGGTATTGGAATTGCACCAAAGAGCTTTGCTCCACAACGTCTTTGATGCTGTTCCTTACTGTTAGTAAAAGCACAGTGCAGGGGGAGGACAGGGCATGCTGCATTCTGCTGCAGGGATTGCTGAAAGCTGCAACAGTCCCTGGGCTGTGCGAGATCCCAGCAAGCCCTGGCTCAGCCAAGGGGGAAAGGTGCTTTTAGGGCCACCTCCTGCCTCCCTGCTTCACTGTATCTGAGTCTAGTGGATCGCAGGGTAAGAACCTATCTCCAGTCTGCTCCAGACTGTAAATAAATACAGAGTTTTTTTTATTTCCCTTCATTTTACCCCCTGATTCTGATGTGTAGGAAGTTTTCAAAGATTGACATTTCAAATGTGCAGTTAGATTTGCTTCAAATTTCTCTCCTAGGAGATACTTAGTGGTTACTTTGCCACTGCAATGAAAACTTTGACCCCTTTTATGCCTTGAATGATGAAAAGCACAGAAGAAGGAGAGGCTGCGAATGCGTGTCCCTCACCTATCTTTCCTCAAATATCAAAGTTGGCACTCATACCATCTCACTTAAAAAAAAAAAATTATTTGCATGACCAGTTGCATGAAAGATAAAGGCAAACACATGACTGTGTTTTCCGTTTTCTGTGTTTCTGTAGCTATGTGTTGCTTATCTGTTTAATGATTGTTTTCAAGGCTATGAAAATGAGTCGCAGATCAGCTGATGCCAGTCAGCGGAGTTTGGCATATAACAGAATTGTTGATGCCCTTAATGAATTCAGGTGAGCAGTTTGTCTCCTGTCTTTTGTGTCTGTTTCTTCAAAAGAACTCAGGTCTGTTTTAGAAGGATCTTCTTAGTGCAGGATAACGAACTTACAATCTGTAAAGTCTTTTGAAGAAGCGAGTACAATAAAGGTATTGGCGACAGCAAGATGCTGTTATCTATTTGTGTTTTTAGATTTTGCCAAGTGTGTATATCCATCAGGGCTTGATGCAAACCGGACATAGATGATCAAATTTTTCTGTGCTTTAGGTAGTAATGAGCTCCCAGCAACCTCTTAAATTATCTATTATGGCCCATTGAGAGGGGGAAAAGAACTGCAAAGCCATTTTAGGGAAATTCTCCTCTAGTGTATATTTTCCTGATACGTGAGCAAAGGAAGACCTTTACCCTGCCTGAAATTCTGCTCTAAAGGTGTTTGAGATAACCAGCTCTAAGGAGGAGGACTCTTTTTCACCAAGTACAATGCAGCACTGTAATTTCTTGCTATCAGTACCGGCAGAGCAGCTCTATTCAACAGTTAATACCCAAAGTAACGCAGATAAGCACATCCCTGGCGTTTAACTCTGTTTCCTTTCCATAGTTTAAGTCATGGGGAGGGAATTAAGATGAAATCCGTGTGTTTCAAGTGATTCATCTCCTCTCAGATGGGAGTGGCAGGGTGCTTCCTTTTACAACCACTGTGGAGCTACTTCTTAGAGACATTATAGAAAACAGTGCTCTGATATTGTAAAAAGAAAATCCTGACATCAGGATGGATTTTACCAAACAGTGAGGGATCGTGAGGGCTCACTCATTGTTTTACAGTTCCACTTACTACCTGAATGCCATGGATTAGGTGGCGTTGCAGGCTGAAGGCACAGTATATTTTAAAATTTGTATTATTTTTGAGAACCTTACCTCCAGGCAGTTGTGAGGCAGAGCAGAGGATACGTTTGGTAGGGACAGGAGGCAGGGAAGAGAGAGCACGTGGGCCTGCGGTGAGAGGTGGATGGATAAACAGTGCCAAGAGAGGGAGCAGAGGGAGCTCGTGACTGCTGGGAGCCAAGACGAGTTCAGCAGCTCTGAGCAGCCGTGGTGGTTCCTCCGCTACCCCAGCTCTGCCTCTCCTCCCCGTTCTCACCCAGGGCCGTTTCTCTGCATTCCCACCCCCTGATAACACCATCTCCCCAGCTGTTTTCCCGACATTTTCCCCCAAACATCCCCCCTCAAGATACATCAGCGGACTTTGCCTGTTCTCCTTTGTCCTTCCAAGTTAAACAGTTCCAGAGTGGTGGGGAGGGGCACGTATCCTGCGTCAAACGTGGGAAAAATAACCCTGAAAACACGGGCCACATCCCCTTTGCCAGCTTTTTTTTCCTCCTGGGAGGGAAGCTCAGCGGTGCTGAGCTGGGATGGGATGAGGAAGGCTGCTCTTGGGAGGCTGAGGAGGAAAATACCGTCCCAGCGGCCATGGGAGGATTGGTACTCTGCTCCTGAGCTCTGCAGGACAGGATCATTCACATGACACGGCCATTGCGTAACCAGCACTGGAAGCATGTGTCTAACTACCAGTTTTATGCAGAGGTTTCCATGGTGATATAAATATTACTCTTTAATAGTGTAAGGAGGTAAATTAAATCCAGTTTAATTTCATATAAATGAATTTCCTGAGGCAGCAGACTTTGGCAATTCTGTGGGTTTGGTTTTTTTTTTTTTTTTGAGTGCATTTGGAGGCGTGCAGCAGCTGTGCCCCCAGCCGGGCAAGGTCCTCCTGCCTCCGTGGTGTCTCAGGGTGGCAATGGGTGCTGGCATCGAGAAGAGCCTTTCTGTAACATGCAGGAGCCACTTGCTTTTCAAAGTAATGCAATATGTGTTTAGTAAGAAAAAAAAAAAAAGCGTATTTTAATACTGAAGGCTGGATGCAAAGATGCTTTGGCAGAGGTTCAGCAAACCCATTTAGGCCACTATTATCTCTTTAGGCGTCTGCTTTCCCACTGAAGTCATGGGGAAGTCAGGAGCCCGGAGTCCTTTTGTGAACCTGAGACTTGTGTTGATTCCTGCCCTCTTAGCAAATTCTGCTAGAGGGAAGGAGGGTGCTGACTCCAGTGGGTTGGTGTTTCTAAAACGTAATCTTGGGCTGGTTTAACTCATTGCAGTCTCTTTTTTTTAATTATTATTATTATTTTTAAACCCCAGACTTTCAGAGGTTCTCAAGCATCGCTGATGTGCACTCCTCTGATACGAATACCCTCCGATCCTGGGGCTTGGGGGGCTGGCTGCATGCTGCTGTGCTGATCAGAGCAGGGAGGAGGGAGGGGGACTGTCATTACCGCAGCCCCCTGCCACCCAGAAGTCCCCCTCTGCAGGGAAGGTGCTGTGGCTGTAGGTCAGCCTGCAGGCAGGGTTATTGCAAAGGAGCTGGCTGCAGGGTCAGCCAAGCATTTATAGGCATTTACCTGCCTGTATGGGGGGGGCTGGGGGGAGAAGAGAAGGCAGCAAAGCAGACCCCTTCCTTTGCTCTTGCCATCCTGGGAAAAACAAAGCTGCCTTCTCTGAAAGACCCAGGCTGCTTCTGCAAGCTGATGCTATTGATCAATTTGCCATCAGTTTGGTGCCCAGCTCCACGTCTGCCATTGCTTCATTATTCACTTTACAGCAATTTTTGAGTTGCTAAAGCACTGATGGATTTAGTTATTAACACTTGTCTTAGAGGCTTAAAACTCTCTTCAGATGTCAGCTGTGCAGACACATGACTTACGAAATAAGCTTCTGTACTTGCATAAACATTTCGGCTCCCCCGGTCCCTGGGGCCAGTGCCGCACATTGATAATACAGATTATGCGTCTGACTAATACCTGGGTGGCGAATACGCAGACTGGCAAGGAAACACTGAACAGCAAAGCCTAGGGAAACACCTCTCTCTGCTTTCTGGCGGCCAAATTTGATCCGATTTTATGCCAGTAATTTTTAAGCAGCTTATGCTGCAGTGAACTGAGCAGTGCATTTTGCTCAGCCGGCCCCTGTGCCAGCACGGGCACCGGAGTCGCATGGGGTCCCTGCGGGGGGGAGCCCCGCTCCTGCGCTCATTGCAGCAATTACTGCCTTTGGGTTCTTTCTCTTTTTTAAGGAAAAATTGTCTTTGGAAGGAAGGAATGAGGATAGGGAGGAAATGCATGTGAATTAAGCTTTATAAACCACCGATGTTTTTGGAACAATCCGTAAAGAAATGCTAGGATTTGCCATTGTACTGCAAATCCTAAATGGCAGAGCAGCTCCCAGCATGGTGCTGGGGGTCCGAAGGGTTTCCCCTGGGGAGGAAGGGGGCTGCAGAGGGATGCTCTCATCCAGGAGGAGCCATCTGCCTTGTTTGGTTTGTACAGCACCAGGGGAGGACGCCTCGGACTGGTACTAAAATCCAGGACAAAGGCTGGGGAGGTTTGCGGGTGTGTTGGGGCGAGGGGGGAGCAGCACAGCCCCTGACCGCAGCCCCGCGTCTGCAAGCAGCAGGACCGCTCGTCTGGGTGCCATCTGTGCCCGCAGAGCAGACAGACCCCAGGGGGTTTGCAGGAGGGGTTTTGCTCAGGTTTTCATTTTCCTGTGGCTGAGCTGGGCTTTGTTTGGTTTCAGGCTGCTGTTAGATGCGAAGGTGTTTGTGAGGAGCTCCCCCAGCCCCTGCTGCACCCCTTCCTGGTGCCGAGGTGCCCGTAAGCTCCAGAAATATAAATGTAAACAATTTAAAATGTACTGGAGCCCTCAAAAGAACAGAGTCTCATGAACTGAGCTTTCCCCTGCACACGGGTGTGGGATGCTGGTGTGTGTGGGGGGCAGCGAGCGGAGGGGAGGGGGCTGCTGGCTGCAGATAGCCGAGAGGAGGGGTCAATTTGATTTTTAATGGTTGTTCTTTTTTAAATCCGGTTAAATTCCCTGCAGTGTTTTGGATTTTTTTGTTATTGTTGTTGGGGGGGGGATAGTTTGTTTTTTTTGTTTTGCTTTTTTTTTTCATTTTTGTTTTTATTCTTTAACAAATGGAAGGGAGAGCGTTCCCCTCCGTGTTTGCAGAGCTGGAAAGCAGTTAATCCTTGCCCTTGGTTTGTGTGCCATTGCTGCCTGCGCTGGCATGGAGGGTTCCCTGCGCCGCAGTCACATGCCTGCTGGCCGCCGGCCAGGGCAATCTGATCGCTCTCGGAGGAAACACTATCAGTTGCAGATGCAGCCAGGGTTACCAGAATAGTAAATAACGAATCACAAGACTCGGTCTATCTTTTCGACGAAAACAAATATTTTTAATATGCTGGTTTCAGTATAGAAGTAGTTTCTTTTTTCAAAACAGCCAAGCTGCAAGAGGCTTGGCTTTGGTTAGTTTGCATACGAAGGAGAAATATTTTATGTTAAGTTTTGCAGTTTATCTTCAGCTTCTAAGGTCAGCTGTGTCGGGAGGGTGTAAGCTTTGATACTTGTTTTAAGCTTTGAAACTCATCAAGCTTTGAAGTCCTGGACTTGGGGTTTCTTCCTTTCTTTGGGACCCTTTACCATCCACTCCAGTCAATGGGCTGTGAACAGAAAGCTTTCCTTTAATAATCCCACCTCTAGTCCCAGCTCCTACTGCGGAGGCGTGAAACCTCGGTGCCCCAAGAGCACTGGGCTGCTGGAGAGCCTCCGGTCCCCCCCGCGTGCAGCAGTGCCGGTGTCCCCCGGCTGCGTGCCCCACTCCCATCTTACCCAGCAGGGTTGTGCCCAGGTCCGTAACCAGGCTGTGCTTTCCTCCCAAGAGAGGACCAGCAGCACAGGGGAACGTGGAGCAGCTCCGAGGCTGCTCTGAATGGACCCAGCAGCCAGCAAGCCCTCTGGGTGCCACGGGTCTGGGGAGCACAAAGGTAACTTGGTTTTCCCCCTCTCCAGCCCGTTGACTGTTTTCTGTCTTTCCCATCGTGCTTGTGGCAGAGGAGTGTCTGAAAATCCAACCTTTGAGGAGGGTGGAGTGGGTTTTGACTATTGTGAACACACAGGATGGATTTTGTATTTAATGAAGACTGGTAGGAAAAAAAATAACACAGAAAATACCACTGCTTCCCTCACCCCCTTTCTTCTTGAGCAGTCCTGGTGGCTTCAGCATCGTGCAGGTCACCTTTGCTGCCCTTTGGGGAGGTGCTCTGGGGGTCTTGTACAGCTGCTTTCTTCTCTGCCAAATAGCCAGGGAATAATTCTTTCCTCCCCCGAGTGCCCCTCATACTGGCGCTGCTGTGCGCTGCTGTTTTGCTCTCGCTTCCCAGGGAGTTTCACTTTAACCCAAGGAGGACTTGGCAGCTGCTGCTCCCGTGCCTGATGTGCACAGCCATCGCTTCTGGACACCTCTATAAATTTTTAGACCAAGATACGCAGAGAAGATCTTTATAAATCAGGGATGGTAATGGGGATAATGGGATAATGTAAATCTTTGTCTTGTAAAACAAAAGTATCTCCTCTAGAAAAAGGAGTGCATTAGAGAAACTGGAATTGATCAGTAATTTCATTCGCTATTTTAGTTTTTTTCAGGCTACAGTTTTACTGGGGTGAAAATACAGGTTCCCAGAGTGTCATAACACAGGCGTTGTACTTAAACTATAATTTGGTTTAGATTTTAGAGGAGTTTAACAGTAATCTGAGGGGTTTTAGTCTGGTGTTTTACTGCAGAGCCAAAGTTTTAATTGTGCATTTACTGTCCTCTGCGAAGTCACAAAGGATGTGGGTGCGTAATCCTGCAAACCGTGGGGTAGCTTTGGCTCTCATACGCTATATTTAGAGCTAAAGAAGTAACATGGTTCCCTGCTCTACACATCCACACTTCAGTAGGTTTGCCCTGGAGATGCACCAGATTTTAAAGCAAGGAGGAAGTGTAGGTATTTTTATAAGTCAGATACATAAACATGCCCCAGTCAGAAATCAAGCAGAACTATGGAGGGTTTACATGTTTGGAATAATATGGAGAGAAAGGAGGGAGATAACAACAAATAATTAATTTCTTCTCCATTGAGAATAGGGCAGCTCTTGACTCTGGCCAGGGACTGTTGCTGTGCTTGGGGTCAGTTCAGGCAGATGCACGAAGAACCCGTGAGGCTCAGCTCTCTGAGGTGGAAGGGTGAATTCTTACTATTAACGAACACCACGGTTTAGGTAACGGTTGAGGAGAGAAATTTTATTTCTGATAGAAATGACAGCTGGAATGAAATATTGCAGTAAATTCTTTGAGTAGGGATCTCTGCCTTTCATTGTTTTGTTTACTCTTCTGGATTTTTTGGTTTTTGTTTTCTAGAACAACTATTTGCAATCTCTACACCATGCCACGGATTGGGGAGCCCGTCTGGCTTACGATGATGTCGGGGACACCAGAAAAGAACCAGCTTTGCCATCGCTTCATGAAGGAATTCACTTTCTTGATGGAAAATGCTTCTAAAAACCAGTATGGTGGATTTTAGTTTTTAAATTACATGTGTGTTTATGCCTTTTTATTTCAATTTTTTAATCAGTTTTTAAAATCCTGGTAATGAAAAGGCCATCCATAAGTACCTTCTTTTTAACACAAAAAAAAAGAAACAAGAAAGTATCTCATTAAATGCCTGCTTCCCCACAATCCTCCAAGTCTTGGTAGAGGATAAACATTTGAAACATGTCCATAGGAAGCGCGTGATGGGTGTGTATGTCTGGAAGGGGGTGAACAGACCTTATGAAATGCATTAATCTACCTTTCAAAATCAGTTATATGGTGAGCAAGGTTAGACATTCAGTAAGAGCTGTGTCTGTAATACTGTCTCACCGCAAATTGCTATTAAACCTGACTTCTGTAAAATGCCACTAAAGAAATCGTGTGCTTCATTAGTCCTCACCTTTCTGCCCTTGGGACACAGCCGTGAGCGGTTGGTTGTTAAAAATTGAGAAAGAGAATGTTCTTGATAAACTTGAGAAAATCTGATAAATTTACTCTTTTGTCAACACTCCATCCTCTCTCTCCAGGGCATGAACAGGGGAAGTTTTTTAAAGCGTTTGGCTCCATTGAAGTCCTAAAACGAGCACAAACATGTGAAGTTTGAGTGGGAATGGCAGTGGGAGACCAGCTGTTAGCTCCAGGGAAGCTGCTCTGTGCAGGGTGGGGAAGGGGCTGCTGCTCACCATCTTCCAGCCGTGCCCCCAGCTGTGTCATCTTTTCTCTCCCTGAGATGGGAGGGTGACAATTGGTGGTCGGCATGGTCCACCTTCTCCTGCCTCAATGCAATGGGAGAACCTGTAGGGAGTTGTGAGGGGTTCAAATGGATTTCCTGAAAATAATTTTTTCCTGCTGCAATGGGAGCTTTTTCCTGGGATTAGCTCTTTGAGTCCCTGCCATGCTGAGCCCTGTACATCTTGGTTACATTTAAATGGTCATTTGTTTGGGTTTGTTTGCTTGCTTTATTTAAAATACCATGAGGTTTACACTGATGGAAGCAAGAGGAAAACCAAGCCCCATATCCTTTTCAATCCAGTTTTAAATCTCTTTTCCTCCTTTAGCTGTCTCCAGTGAGGAAATGGGGCTAAATTTAAACTGTAGTGTTCCTGATGCTTGTAAACTATTCCAACAGCATTATTTTGAGGCTTGGTGATGTTGGGCTGTTTTCCTCCCCAGGCACCTGAGCCGCTGCAGCGGCCGCCAGCACCATCTGTCGGCATGTGGGAGGCTGTTGGGCTGCGCTTCTGCACGCTCCTCCTGCCAGGAAAAGGCACTTCCCTCCATGGAGCAGAAATCATGCTCTGTCATTACAATAAATCAGATAGTTAACATTTTTCGGAAGGTTTTTCGCCTTACTCGCTTAGCTAGTGAAAACTGGTGTAAGCACAGAGTCTTTCTGGCTGAGCTGCCTTTTATTTATTGGTGGTATTACAGAACTCTGGGGTTTTTATGTTTGCAAAGGAGCAGCCATATGTGCTTAAATTGCAGAACAGTTAGATGAAGGAACATAGCACCTAGCTATTCTACAGGTTTGGTAGCAATAGCCTTCCTTCTCTTCAGCAGTCGGAGATCCTAAGGGTTTGGGGTCTGGGAGTACAGAGGCCACACCACAGTGCCCCTGTTTTCTTACAGTAAAGAAAGTAAGTTGGGTTTTGAGATGTTTTATAACATAAAGCTTGCAAAATAGGAAGTCTCATAATTATTGCCAAACAGAGGAAGTGAAATGCCACAAGTGTAAAATATTTCATCTTACTTTGAAAGTGTGTTCTGAAAAAGAGCTTTGCAGGGGTGGGAGGGAGGATAGAGACCTCCCATCTCCCCCCAGGGAACCCAGACTGAAGGGATGATCTCTGCTGACTTTGTTAGGTTGTTTCGGCAATCCTTGATCCATGTAGTTTAACATCCTGAGTGTGTACCTGGAAAAAAAATGATGAACATTTTGCTTTCAGGTTTTTACCAGCTTTACTGACTGCAGTCCTGACTAACCACTTGGCCTGGGTCCCTACCGTCATGCCGAATGGCCAGCCGCCTATCAGAATCTTCCTGGAAAAGCATTCTTCCCAGAGCGTGGACATGCTGGCCAAAACTCACCCGTACAACCCGCTGTGGGCACAGCTCGGTATGTGGCAAACACCTCTAAACATCCAACAGCTTTACACCGCGGTATGCGCGTGGTGGTTTTTATAGAACCTTGTTGCTTCCTCCCCCCAAGTTAATTTTATTTATTTATTTTTTAATTTTATTAAGCTTAGAGGTGGTCACTGTATTTTTTCATATGCGCTGTAATTTCTTAAGGCATTACAATTTCTAAAATGGCAGCCAAAAAGTAAAGCCCTCTGTAGTCATCTATGGCAGGTCTCCTAAGGTCACCTGCTGTGGTGATGATGGAGGGCTCCAGTCCTCCTCTGGTCCTCTCTCTGTAAGGAACATCAGTTTTTATTTTTTGGGATGCTGGTGTCAGTCAGCCTGCTTCTGGAAAGAGCAAATCAAGGAGATCCATCTTTTGATGAGAAAGGAACATATTCTCAATACAACAGGCAAAGGAGCGACACTGTACAGGAACTCATGACTAGGCAACCCCTTGGGTAAGGTCTCACAGCCTAGTTGATTGAGTAGCTGATCAGACTGTCTTCTAATTGCTGAGTAGAGAAGAGGAGATGAGCTTACTATGCTCTGGTCACATTGTCCTGCTCTGCACACAAACTCTATTGCCATTTGGTTAGGGAAGGGAAAAGAAGGTTTTGCAAGGTTGTCCTATTCAGGGACTTGGCAAGAAGACTTGATTTCCGAGCTCATGGCACTCAAGGGACCCACTGGTGTTAGGCTGGCCTTTGGGGCCTCTTGGATCCCCTATCCCCCCACCTCTGCATTCGTGCAGTGCCCCGATCCCTCCAGAACAACACATGCACAGGCACTTCCCCAGGTTAATCTGGAGTACAGTCCAAACAACCCATCCAACCCATAGTAGAGCTCAAGGAGAGGGAAGAGAAGAAGGTTGGCTTCACCTATGCACCCACCACTGTCACTTTTTGCCCTTGTTCTTGGCAGAGGTTTGTTTCTCCTTACAGCTTTCTCGGTGGGTAAAAGTTCAGCCCAGTTTCCAGACTGTCCAGGGTAATTCGGAGCAGATGCCTCCTCTCTCCCATGGCTATATAAGGAACCCAGGAGACGAGCCTCCCAAGCTAGGCACTGAAGTTAGGTGGTTCAAATACTCCCTAATATGCGAGATCAAATGTCTCCCTGACCAGCGTGTCACCTTACACACGATACCAACAGCATCTTTGGGATTCTCTGCAGTGAAAACAAAATACTGGCATAGCTGTCCTCACTCCTCTGCTTCAGTGTTTTTCCGTTGTAGACCTGGCCTTTGAAAACTGGCCACAACAATTGTCTGTTAGAAGAATAATTTATTTTCAAGATACAAAATAATTGTCTTTTATTTTCTCTTCTAGGTGACCTGTATGGAGCTATTGGATCACCTGTGAGATTAGCGAAAACAGTTGTGGTTGGCAAAAGGCATGACCTGGTACAGAGATTGCTTTATTTCCTTACTTACTTCATCAGATGCTCTGAACTTCAAGAGACGCATCTTCTAGAAAATGGGGAAGATGAAGCCATTGTCATGCCTGGAACTGTTATAACTACCACGCTGGAGAAAGGAGAAGTAGAAGAATCTGAGTATGTGCTTGTCACAATGCACAAGAACAGGGGCAGCTTGCCACTGACGGGGTCTGAAGAAACGAGAACTCCTAACTGTAGCTGTAAATATTGCAAGTGTCCGATTTCCCTTGCACAAAACATTGAAGGTGTTTCACAGCAAGAGAGAGAAGACACTCAAAACACTCCTAAGGTAGAGCTGGAAACTTCTTCAGATGACAATAGAACTATTGTTCCCGATGATTGCCAGGAAGATGCTGTTGATGTTAACCAACCGAGACCCTGCCTGGATGCAAAACTAGAGACCGTGGTGTGCACAGGGTCAGCTTCACCAGAAAAACGTGTAGTGACGGAATCTGGTTTGGAGCCAACATCCAACACGTGGAGGAACGAAGCCTCGCTGGAATCGGGCAACCAGGAGGTCAGCGTACCAAGGTCGCTCAGTATTGCTTTGGAAAAGAAGCCGCCGGATAAGCTCTTCTGCGACACGTTTCCTTGCAGTGCTGCCGAGGCTCAGACAAAGGTGACTTTCCTCATCGGAGATTCCATGTCGCCCGATTCAGACATCGAACTCCGAAGTCAGGCAGTAGTGGAACAAATCGCCAGGCATCACAGCCCACCAGCAACGGAGGAAGGAGTGTCTGCTGATCAGAACTGTGAAGCTAAACAAACTGTTGAGGACCAAAATAGAGACTGTGGGACAGCTGAACCCTTTCCTCAAGTTGCTAGTGAGCATCAGAGCTGGAATCCAAATCCGTACAGCGCCGAGAGCATTAGTCTGTTTGATGAATATTTTACTGATGACAGTTCAATTGAAACCCGGACTATTGATGATATTCCAGGGCAAGCAGCTACAGACCTTGCTCACAACAGTAGTTTAGAGTTTTCTAAAAAGCTGTGTACAAAGACTAGCAAACCACCTAGCGAATTTTGTAAATTTATGGACTCTGTTCGACAAGAGACCTTCAAAAACTGCTTTAATGAGCAGGACCAAAGAGAGAAAATCTCTATTCGTGTCCCCCATGGGGACAGGGAAAACATAGAGAAAAAAGTTGCCCCAGGAATTGATTGGGACATTCCAAGAAATGAGAGTTCAGATAGTGCCCTGGGTGACAGCGAAAGTGAGGATACAGGTCATGATCTAACTAGACCAAGCGGTAACTACTATGGAGGAGAGCAAGAAGACTGGGCAGAAGAATATGAGATTCCTTTCCCTGGGTAAGTACTATTCAGCAGTAACAGAGCCTAAAAAAGATAGAGCCTCTTCTCCGGTCACATGTTCGGAGGAATGTAGCCGAACTTGGCATCAGTGGTTGGAAAAGTGTCTCTTGAGCTTGCTGGTCGTTAAAGAATATAGAGAGATCAGTGGTCTGGAAAAAAAGGTATTACTTGTGCATTGCGATCTTGGCTCGTATCCTTTTCTTCCACAATGGTCAGACTGCAAAAGCTGACTTCAAACTCTTTTTTTTTTTTTTTTTTTAAAAGTGCTTGAATGGAAACTAGAAGAGATAGGACAAATGTGAGAGTGCAGCCTCTCTGTGGGCTGAATTTGGTGTTCACTGTTGTACATCTCTTTGCTATGCCTTTCTTGCAGGTCAAAATTAGTTGAAGTGAACTCTGTCCAGCCCAGTATTGCCAACTTTGGAAGATCCTTACTAGGTGGCTACTGTTCATCTTACGTCCCTGACTTCGTTTTGCAAGGAATAGGAAGTGATGAAAAGCTGCGGCACTGTTTGGTGTCAGATTTGTCTCATGCTGTGCAGGTAATTAAACTATATTTGGTACATGTATTT